ATCGCTTTTGCTTGACAATCCTCATAAGGCTGCGGTTCTCTCGGTTGGTTGTGCATCTTTTTCTTCCACACTTTTTCCTTCCACTCAACTTTGTTAACATGCTTGGATACCGCACTCTGTGAACAGCCAGCTTCTTTGGCAATGAATGTTTGTGGCTCCTTGTGAAGGGTGTCAATGATTGTCTTGTGGACAACTGTCAGATCAGCAGTCTTCCCCATTATTGTGTAGCCTAGTGAACCAAACTGAGAGGCCATTTTGAAGGCTCAGGAAACCTTTGCAGGTGTTTTGAGTTGATTAGCTGATTGGCATGTCACCATATTCTCATTTGTTGAGATAGTGAATTGGTGGGTTTTTGTTAAATGTGAGCCAAAATCATCACAATTAAAAGAACCAAAGACTTAAACTACTTCAGTCTGTGTGCATTGAATTTATTTAATACACGAGTTTCACAATTTGAGTTGAATTACTGAAATAAATGAACTTTTCCACGACATTCTAATTTATTGAGATGCACCTGTATCTGTCTATCTACCTATTTATCTATCTGTCCGTCCGTCTGTCTGTCTATCTATCATGAAGTAAAAAAGACAAAAACACCTAACAAAATTGCTAAGATTTTAGCTAATATAAAATAAAAACAGATGAAAACAGAAAATCTAACAAATAAAAACTAATTCAGAATATAAATACGCACTAGTATCTCAGTGATGCTAAAATAACTGAGGAAGGAAGCAGCTTGGCTCGACACGAGCCTCTCTCTGGCTCCCAGTCACACAATTCCATATCCACGAGAGACACTTGCACCTGCAGCTAAACTCATTGTGGAGCTGTTGTGAGCTCCGAAAAGGAAACTCCAAACCATCATGCTGTAAGAAGGTCTAAACCTTGAGAGATTTAAAGTGAGCATTCCCAACCCAGATGTCATTGTTTTTGGGTGTGGGTGCTCCAAATGGTCTCTGAAAGGACCCAGCAGTGATTAACGTTAGCCAATGCAGACAGAACTATAGGGACGAAACCAGATCGACAGCCGCTCTGATGTCATAAGCTGCCGAGATGAGTTCCAGAACCGGAATGCCG